TAGATCATACAAAACGGAGAGACGTCTTTATCCTGACGGCTGACACACATGAAAGCGCGAGTTAGTGTCCTCGTCATATAAATGATATAATAGTCTGGCCTAAGCCTAATCCATATTATCAAGAGTACATAATGGGAGACCATTGTGTACTCTTGATATTATGATGTCTATATTATGGTCCTCACAACAGAGAAGAGTGCTGGCGTCCTGAGCTGGATGGTAGTTCCATCTATCGGGCGGTTGAGGGTGGTCATAATCAAAATTTGGTCATAATTATCCACGCCCCCTCTACGACGCGTTAATCTTGTTTATATTAGCAACCGCGGCGCATGAAAAGGTTCTGTGAAAGCTCGAGTTGTCAGTAGCTTCCTTCAGCACTGTCTCCATCGATCCATCATGACACAAGATGATAAAGACGGTGATAAGTACGGTGGGTATTGTGGATTACTGTTAGTGTTTTCAAATTAGTTATTGTAATAATTGAATGCCGAATGGTGCCATCGGCGCATCGCCATCGGCATCGATTGTAATAATGCAATCACAGGCACTTAATTGGGTCGTTTCAATAATAAAATGATGGTTAATAAATACAACTTGTCAGTACCAGTACCAATAATAGTCTTAATGTTTGATTTGACCTAATAACTTCACTTCAATACCGTCCAATACTACACCGCTGCAACACATAGCGCGCACGCCATTATGCATAGGACAGCATACACAGCATGCCTACACAGCATGCACGCACAATGGCGTGCGCGCTATCATCTATGTGTTGGCAGCGGTGTATTAGGACGGTATTTGAAGTGAAGTTATTAGGTCAACATCAAACATTAAAAAACTATTACTGGGTACTGGTAGGTACTGGCTACTAGGTAGCGTCTAGTACTGACAAGTGTGCTATTTATTAGAGCCATCATTTTATATTGACAACGGGCCAGCAAAAACCGTAAAGAAACAAAAAAAAAACAGAAGTGGGCTGTGATTAGTGTGAATGCAATGGCCTCTTCTTGCTTGATGAAGCATGTGCTGAAGTAGCCACAAGTTCCCTTCTCGCTTAACACTGTCACTACGTTGGCGAGAGGCCTACACTCCTACGACGTGTAACAGTCGGAGAGCCTGGTCGGTTTAGTGCTGAAGTAGCTCTAGTACTAGAGCTAGTGGCAGTACCAGTACTCAGTAGTGCTGAAGCTGTTTGATGCACTTGATCATGATCTGATCATGAGCATGATCATTGTGATTGTTTTCGGCATGTGCCATCTTCTAAGGATGCCATCTTCTAAGGATAGCTTCTTTGTTTCTGTCATTCCGTATTGGAATTAACTTCCTTCATCTTTGGAAAATTGCAAATTTACAGCTTTTTCCACTGCAATCCGCAGTGTTGTCACTGTTGATCTATCGTCAGTATCGATTTGCTCCACTTCTCTCTCCGTCTTCGTTTACTATAATATTCAATTCAATTCAATTTCAATTCAAATGCTTTATTTACACTTACACAAATTACATTTAGCAGAAAGGTATTTGAAACAAAATAAATACAAGTGATGGAGGGTGAAATGATACAGTCTTCTAGTCAGCCAGGCTATAAATTGCAGAAAATATTAAATGATTAACAAACAAAATAATAATAATAATAATAGACTTTTGAAGACTAATAAATTTATGAGGTTATGACGAGTTTATAAACTCGAAGTCTTGGTTTGATTACGATATGACTACCTTGCCACACTTACCTAACTGATTTAGTCTATACAGTCTACAGACCCTAATTGTTTTTACTATTTTCAAGGCGAACCACGAAGCTTTGACCCTACCTTTAATGGACCCATTAAGAATAGGTGAGCTAATCAGGTTGTATATATATATATATGTATGTGTGTGTGTCTATGAGTGTATATATATATATATATATGAGTTATCTGTTGCAGTATAAATGGTGTTGATTTACTATAATTTACAATAATGACTTTTATTATGCAGGTACTTGTAAATACGCATACTTAACATTTATTACTTATTCTAGTATTGCTTAGGGGCTGTAAGATATCATCTGTTGCATTCTGGGCTTGTGCTGTATTTGGTGATTCGTTGGGCTGCTATTGGAATTCGGTGTGTATGTACACGTCTCGCGTCAATTACTGACACTATAATACAACAGATATATGTCTAAAATTCCTACATGACCTGTTATTTATAGTTGAATCTATAGCATTTAGTGGAATATATGAAAAGTTAATAGTTTGCTGTTTCTTATTTTTGTTTTCATTTGATGGACCAAAAAAATATAGTCAGATGGCATTGCATCATCATCCATTAGCTGGTCAAGTCTAATATTAATAAGTACCATTTCTATAGTGAAAAACGACCACCTACGTGAGTGTTTTAGTAATCGACAAACAAGGTAGAGACCGGTTCAGTGCATTTTCGTAAAACGCACGCTATCTAAATCAGTAATGAAATATATGTATTGAAACTACTTAGATTATTTTTTTAACTTGTTCTATTTACAGCTTTTGTTCATGGAAATTCCAGAATTCTACTCTACCCAACTGTTCTACAGGGTCATATCTGCGGGTTGACTTGGTGCTCTTTAAGTACTGCTACCTGGGCTAGGTTACATTACCATTCTATGCCTTCATTAGATATATAACATATTAGATCATTGTAAAATTCACCAACGTTACGATATTAATAGACATAATGTTAGCATATATGAAAGGATTTTACAGTAAGAGAATTGTATAGGAACAAAGTTAAGAGTAACACAATGAAGATGTAAAATCACGTCATATTTAGTAAATAAAATAACATAGATAATACCTTAGCAGCGAGTAAAGCGCATTCCTCTTCTTCTTTTGACTTACTGTGTGTGCCAAGCTAGGAGCTAGGATCTTTGCTAAATGGCTGTTGCCAACTCCACAGGTGGAGTTTATTGCCCGTTGTCATAGATAATTTCCAAAAAACAAGGTGTTTTAGCGAAGACTATTGCTTGAGCTAAAGCGCAAGTAGAAATTGCAGACCTTAGAGCACGCATGTAGCCTAGGCAATTCATCGGGACTCTTTATTCTAAAATAGTTCTACTTTGTGCGCAAAGCAACTAGATATTTAAGACAAAATTGGCGCTGTTGGAAACATCTTTGTCTATTCTGTGCACATTGACATTAACTTTTAATACACCACAGACTATATTCTATTGTGGTGGCTATCGACATCAAAATAAAAGTGAAAGAAATCATTCAACACTGATAGCAATCTACTACAGTTGGCAGCTTTCGAGACATTTTGCTAAACGCATACAGGCTATATGGTTATATTTATATATTTATATAACATAAAGATTTAATTGTTGGCGAACGTTTTCTTTTGTTAATTTAAATACTATATCTTACAGTGCAACTTCTAGTTAAACTAGGGCAACACAACAGCCATGGTTTTCCAAAATTGCAAATATTTATATACTTGAAACTGTGTCAACTCGACAAAATTTTAAATATTTTTGTCAAAAAAACTTGGCTCTGGTTTGCTAATTGTCATGGCAGCAGAAGCACGAAAGGGCTAGGCAGTCCGTGTGTGGTAACTCGATGCGCAGGTTGCTTCTTACTGACAGTGCTGTACATCTTTCTCTTTTACCTATGGTCTGGTTTTCCAAGGGATATTTTTTGTTGTTGGGAGAGTGTCCGCAAGAGAGACTTTCTCTACCTCAACACTTCCACTGTCAAACTCCGGTACAAGCGCTCAGAACTTATATAGTAAGATACAGCGTGGACCCCATGAACGTGAGGCAGGCGTGACGTGATTTACGTTGTCATGCGTAATGGATCGGACAATGAATTCCCAAATTGTTAACTGCCATGGCTGTACAACCATGCTGTATATGGCCACAATCCATAGTGGTGAGAGTGTATTTTTGCTTTTATTTGTGAGCCATTAGTCATTCTTTGGTAACAGTTTCGTAATGCTACCATTTGTGATTCACTTGACAGCAAATCTAAAAACTTTATGTTGCCGGACAATTTTGTGTTTTGCGTGTGTATCAAACAGAACTTTTTTTCTGGTGACGTTTTTGCAGTCAGTGGACATCTGATAGAATCTGATGATTGTGCTCCATACTATTTTGAGAGCAAGAGCTGTGAGTTTTTCCCTTTTTTAATGGAACGTAATATAGTGAGTGTATATTATCATTGCTTGGTTTATTCTATAGCTAGTTCTAAAAGGATAAAATAACCCATATGAAAGTGCAGCATTTTTTGTTGCGTCCATGTATGGCTAAGTACTACTTTAGCAAAAGACTGCTAGCTTCTGAAGCATGTCAGAATAGCACCAATACTCTTTTCCCTTCTGCCCTTGCTCTTCACCCTCGTCAATTGAACTCATCCATCATGCAGCTCTTTCACTTAGCTTGCCTCGTATCCTGTTACATTTACCAACTCTCGAATCTTATTGCACTGCACATGACAATGTCCATCAATGTCATGTTGCGTGCACACTGACGTGTCAGTGCTGATTAAAACGTGTAATTTGCAAACTTACAGATTTCGGTAGATGTATTCCACGGAATTGCTTGAGGATGCTCTCGTCTTGACAATAGGGTCAACGCCGGTAATCGACAAGTCTGGAGGTAATGTGTCAACGGAAGCAATTGTAGATGGAATCGGGTAAGTTTGCCACCATAATATATCTTCTAAAAAGAAAGATTAAATTGAACCATTCGAAATCTGAGAATTAATCAACCCCTCATTAGCTTAGTATTACATTATTTATGAAATCACTTATCCGACAATTAATAGTATATTACTATTATTAGGGCTATTAAGATGTTATATAGCTTTACCTTGCTATTTAAAAAATATTTCCCTATAGGTGGGTGTCACAGGCATTAAACCTGGAAAGTATTTGGGACAAAGGTGTTCAGGATTTCATTGGTTTCCTGGTGCCAGATTATAGTGTAAGTTGTTTATTTCATGTAAATACAATTGTATTACCAGGAGTAAATAATCTGGTAACCTAGACTTCTGGTTTACGTTTACAGTTCCTCCAACACCACCTCTCTTTAAATATAATACCACTACCTCCATCACATGTCATATATTCACAATTCTCATATCATATACCACACCACTTTGCACACCAATTCTATTCCACCAAAATACCAAGTACCAAATTAAATACCAATAAGTTTTTCAAATTAATTGTTTATATCAAAAGGCAATTGCACTATATTGGTAAGTATTTTTGCAGGAAGCACGACTCCTGTAAATGGTGCAAGCCTACATGCATTACACGTGGAGCTGAGTTTGACTTCAGTGTATTGCATGCCATGGTCCTGCTTGCTTAGAGCAGTAGCTGTGCAGATCCATGTCTAACAAAAACTATACCTTTTTTTTAATTCAAAATGTGTTAGTTAATTACCCTGCTACATGGTTATCGGTTATCATTGGTGTGGTGATTTAATTTTTGGAATGTATAATTATTGGATAAGACGTAAAACAAAAATTTGTTTAACTGATAATATAAAACTGATAAAATATCAAACATTTATGTGCATGTAGTGGTGTATTCTGCTTTAATTACATCTTTAATGATGATTTCAATTATTGATCAGGTGATCCATTAATAGTCTGCCTGTCTGAATAATTACTTGGTTCAGAGCAAACTCACTGTGGCACTAGCATAACACAGCCGTTAAGCTACTGAACGATACTGCCATCCCTCATTCTGTGCACAGTAGTTTTTCCACAGTATTTAATTAAAATGGGACAAAAGCATTCCGTGATGGAGAACAGCCACGTTCTCATCTCCTTTCTACTGTGTCAGTACAGCCAGAGTGAGATTTGCTTTAACTATCCAAACCAAGTATTCATTCAGTTCTATTGTCAAACACTTTGTCTACGTATTTTCAAGTGGTTTTGACATTGTCAGTCGATTGTCAACATTGGGAATGAGTTCTAACGTTCCCCTGTTTTTTCCATCAGAGCATTAGTTATTGCCATGGTCATATCCTTCCTGTGGATCGTGATGCTGCGTTGGATAGCTGGCATCATTATATGGGTCTCTCTGTTTGCACTCATCGGCCTGCTCGGCTTTGGTAGGTGGTAACACCATATATACACACATTTTGATTAGCTTTCATAATTCATAAATGTCAGATAGAAACATTACGTTCATTGTTATATCAAAATTGCTTCTGTCATCATGGTCATACAGTGTTGTGCTAATAACAAGCATGGTGCCAAATTGCTGCATTTGTATTTTTTTCCAGTACAACTGGGAATATTCACCCCAATATAGTTTAACCTGATAAATGATAAATGAATACAGCCACTAGGCTTGTGTGGCGAGATATAATTTAATGGCAAGCTAATTTTACACAATCTGAATTATTTAAAATGATATAGTCTGCTGGTCTGCAGTTTTAGTTAATTAGTAGTAGGCTAGTTGCAACGGACATGTTGGTTTGCTTAGCAAATGAAATTGGATGCCATCCAGTGTGATTAATGATGACAATTTGATGAGAGATTGCTTTTAGGTACATCCTCTCGCTATGCAATTATGCATTAGCGTGCATTGTTTGATTTACAAATTTGCTTTCGCTTGAACTTTTGGAGTTTAGTAGGCAGTCAACTATAATTGGATGTATTTATGTGAGACTTTTCCAATGATTATAAATTTAAGCTAGTGTACATATTTTCACGCTATGGGATCTAAATATTGTAGCCAAATTGATGTAAACTCAAGATACTCTAACTAAGTATAATGTTAAAAGGATTATTCTCTACTACTCAACTAATTCCATGCAGATATGAATCGATTTGGCTTTATGTTCTTGGCATTTTTGGCATTGGTATGAGGAAAGTTTATATTGAAACTGAATTTTTGCCTTCAAGGTTGCTTCTACTGTTACACTAAATACACAGAGCTGCAGGGCGTGCAAGGGTCAAACCTGTCCCTTACAGAAGTGGGTTTCACCACAGACGTTGGCACATACTTGGCTCTCAGAGACACATGGTTGGCATTTGGTATGTCCATATATATGCCCTCTCATAACACCTCAGCACATGCTTATGAATGATTTTAATGTGCTGTGTTAATTTACTCAAAATATAGACAAATGAATAAATAAGACTCGAAATGAAATGTATAGCCTAAGTATCTACAACAGTGCAAGTTTATAATATTAGCACGTTGACTCGTGAAATTTGCACACTTTATCCAATTTGCTGCTGAATCGTGTAACACGCATTATGTTTATGATACAGGCATTATCATCACCATCACTCTGATCGTCATCCTTCTTATACTGATCTTTCTAAGAAGTCGTCTTCTCATTGCCATCGCTTTGCTGAAAGAAGGCAGCAGGTACAGTGCATACCCTGCATTATGCAATTAATGAGTTCCATAAAAAAAAGTTTGTAACACGAAAGTTCTGTAGCGTGGCTCACCTTATTCCATTTACTTCCATTGTATAATTATGGATGCATTCCCACGGGAAATCTTTCATGCAAAATATGTACTAGAAGGAGAATCGTGATTGCAAGTAAGCATTTTTAAATGCATTTATCGATTATTAATTTAATGATATAAGATCATATCATACTGGGAGGTAAAGAAAATTCAGCATTGGGGGTTAATATTTATATATTAATGCCTGCTGTTGGGGGCACTATGCTCTCATAGTGTTGCTGAGGGAAGGAATAGTGTCCGACGGTAGCGAGGGCACTATTCCTCCCAAAGCAACACTATGAGAGCATATATGGCCCCAACAACAGGCATTAATGTTTTTTAGTGCATCACATGACTATGCAATCTACTTTTCATGCGTATATACCTTCTTTATACTCCTAATTTGGCCGGTGCATTCGATGTAACAAAACGTTCGACACAAACACAACCGCCGTTTCGAAATTACTCTTGCGTGGCGCCAGACGCCAGGAGATTCGTGACGTAAACACAATGCGTGTATTAATAACAATGCCCGCTTCAGGCGGGCACTGATCGCCTTCATAAGTGCCTGCTGCGCTTATCGCAATGGAATTGCAGCGCATTTTATCACGTCAATGCACTAATACAGTTGGCCTCACCTTCGTTATCACTATATTATTGTCCAGGTTTTGGGTGTTTCAGGCTCTTCCCTAGAGACCAAAACCAAAAGTTGGTTTCCCGTTTACGTTCTTCTCTTTGTATAGCCCCCGTGTACAGTACTGGGCAGGGGGAGGGGCGATTCAAAGGACACACACACATTTCATAAACAGTGCGTGTGTAGGTGGATTGCCCACAGAAGAGCCACCACAGAAGAGCAGACACTAGGGCGACCCAGCAGTGACACGTCTGTATACCAGTTAGGAGAGATCTGGTATAGGACTAATGGATATGTGATCATTTAAGGGATGTAGCAGCTCAATTGCCATTTCATTGTTGGTCGCACTCAACCTGTCATTCTAGTTTTCCTGCGAATTGTTTACCACCACTGCAAATATCAATGCATTTCAGGGCAGTTGGACACATGATGTTGGCACTCTTCTTTCCTCTGGTGCCGTTTGTAATGCAGATTGTCTGCTTCACCTGGTGGGCTGTCGTCGCTGTGTATCCTTTCCATAGTATTGAACACGTTTGTCACGTTGCCAGGCATTCTGCAGCTTGCAGGCTCATTACATGGTTTCATATAGAGTTCTCTTTCACCCCTGATTTTCTTGAAATTAACTAGATTCTCTCAAATTATTATCTGTGGCGAATTGAATTCGCGTAGTCAATACATGAAACCTTAATATTTTTCACAACATGGGTATTTATATTGTGCATTTCGTATGCACTGATGTCTCCCTCTGTATGCTGAGTGAAAGAGATCAGCCAAGGTAGTAGGATCGAATCCTAGTGCAGTGTGTAATGATTAGTATACTGTACACTGAGAGCCACGCACATTGCGTTAGTATACACCAAATCTATGACCTCTTGTTGCCGAGTGACCGTCACGTGATGTTTGTGAATGCTGCTCATATTGTCAATATAAATATACGATGCAGTGGAGCGCTGCAGATCTCTAGCAAACGAACTGCGTTTGTGCTTGTTCAATCGATTGAATCAAATATTAATAGTTACAGACGACAGATGGTGGTAGAACCTGAGATTGTAAAAGCCGTAGGAATACGGCTTTTACACTCTCTGGTAGTACGTTATCTAGTGTAAAATGGGCAATGCCTTGTGAAAAACGTTGTTCCTGAATAGTTGTACGTGTGGGAATGATTGCGGGTAATAATTTCACATTAGTGAAGTCATATCCGGCACGACCGCATGCGGTTGTCGAGAGTTTATCCATAACTGGAGCAGATACCTGGCGTCGTCAGTAAGAGCGCAGTATGTTGTGGCCGATGCACAGACTGGGGCGAGTCAAGCTAACTGGGAAAGCTGTGACCCAAATGTAAATAATCGTGGGTTTGCTGGGGCGCCGGCGTGCTCGGCTGTGAATGCATTTTTTTATTTCCTCTTAATGCATTTCTGAAAACATCGTTTCTCTGTATCACATTAGGTTCTAGTAGTCGTTTTCACATCTTCAGATTCAGTTTCATTATGTTAATGCCTGTGTGCGTGATACTGCTATGCCCACCTTGACAGTTATATAATCTGTAGCCACCTAAGTTCTAGCTCCTCTGAGTACAGCAGCGATTGAATGCAAATATCACAAACCTGCCATCCAATGACAGTGAGGAGATCCATGCATAGAAGTACAGACAGTTTTTGCATTTTGCATGTCTTCCTGGCGATAGCCAATTATTAATAAATTGTCCGTGGGTAGATATTATTAGGTGTATATAGTTCTGAACAATTTATCTTGTGTTGTAATTGTATCGTAATGCGCTTTGTATTGGCTTCGTTAGAATATAACAGTAAGAGAGCTGCAAGCATTGTTGGGATTCTTGTATATATGAGATAAAAGTAAAACAAAGCAGAATATAAACCTGGAAATGCTAAATTGTAACTACAATATATACCTGGTAATACAGTGCAGGGAAACGAAATTCAGATTTTTTTCCATCGGCCCAGAGGGCTGGTAACAGCAATTTTTTACCAGCCCTCACCATAATTTACCAGCCCTCACAAATTTTGTTTGTAAAATCATATCATGTTCGAGGGCTTGCATTCTCTATGTTCCTCTAATGTTGATAAATAATGGCGTGATATCCTTACAGGGTTAAACAGTAAACGTAGGCTATCTTGCCATTATGCTATAAATAAAACTGTAAGGTATATATATATATAATATATATAATATATATATACTATATATACATACTCGTGCTACACGGCTGAAACCACACAGATCGGAGGGGCCGTGGTTTTGCCAANACTAATCGAACATTATACTCGGCTATCTTATACTAGTTCACGAGTTTACAACATTTAACTACCTCCGCGCGCACTCACGTGGCACAAACCAATCAGCGCTCATGGAATGTGTACTTTGAGCAGTTTTTGTCTTGTCTTTATGTGACTATCCGTTGCTGTTGCGTACATACACAACGTCGGCATCGAAGTCATGTCATATAAATCGATCGTTGCAAACCGTCAACCGAAATTTGTGAAATCAATAATTTTCGGTTAGTTGATATGGATTTTAGCATATAAGATCGGATACAGCCGCTCGTGAACGGATAAACACGTGGGCGTCAGTTATTTAATCACACAGGCAGGATTAACAATGGCAGCAGTGAAGCTGGTTGCGGTGTGTGTATTGTGCGCAGCCTTATTAGTGGCGGTGAGGACACAATTCCTGCAGCAACCACGTAACACGGAGGAAGTTGAAGGTACCAATGTTACGGTGCACTGCACGATTGACCTTAGTTTCTATTTACCATTAGAAGATTTACCAATTTTCGTTTATTGGTATCGTGACGGTTCCTACGTAAGTCCTACTGATGAAGAAAGATATTTCTACATTGACGCCAACAAGTACGATACAGGAGACTTTGGCTTGCTAATATCTAACTTGAGAGTTGAGAAAGATGACGCAGAGTTCTATTGTGTATGGCAGGAAGTCGGGGACGCTCCGGGTAGCGGCCCGTCATCTGACAAGGGTCATCTGACTGTGCTTGTGTCACCACAGTCGGTTGTCATGTTTCTTATAGAGAGCTCTTCATCAGCGCTACAGTTCTCTTGTGTATCGGACAGCAGTAAACCAGCAGCTAGCGTCACTTGGTGGCTGAATATTGAAGATATCACTGCCGACTCCAGTCAAACAGAGGAAGCGGGTTCAAGAAACAAGACATTTACAACAAAAAGTATCCTGAGTCTCAGGTTTTTAACGGAAGACATTAACAAAGAACTTCGTTGTCATATCTTTACTCACCAACGTTTACCCGAAGAAGTGTCAACCGAAATGTTGTACATGGCAGACACCGTGACCATCATCAGCAGCAACAACTCCAGTGATGATGACGTCATTATTATTGAGGCAGAGAAGCTAGTTCTACGCTGTAATGCTGACGGCTATCCAGAACCATCTTACACATGGTTGCACGACGACCAGGGGAAACAAGCTGCAGACGACAAGCTGGTGATCGAGTTAGTCGAGTTTAAACACAGAGGATTGTACGCATGTAAAGCAACTAGTGTGTTTGGAGAATACATGTCGAGTAACAAGTTGAATGTGACCGTGTTAGTGCCAGCAAGGAATGTCACAATGACGATAGACGGTAATAATGTAGACGGTAATATGACGATACTTGCGGGATCCCATGAGGTTAGCTGCACTACAGGTAAAAGTTTCCCGGGAGGAACAGTAACATGGAAGCTTGGTGATACACCTATAGACGAAGCTAATACCTTACATGTCAGTGAAGTTGATGGAACTATAACGACATACAGCAAACTGACGCGTAAGTTTACCGCTGATGATCACGATAAAACACTTGTCTGTTATGTTGACATCCACGAATCATTCCAGTCACTGTCGGTCGATGTTCGGCTCAATGTACAGTACATGGGGCAGGTCAGGGTAAGCGGTGACAGTCAGGCAGGGGTTATGACTGTCAAGCACGGCAGTGCGCTGTGGCTGCTGTGTAACGCAGACGGAAACCCAGAGCCAAGTTATTTATGGCTTCACAACAAATCACTAGTTCATGCAGAAGTGAACCGCATTTACGAAAGGGAACAGGTTGGTTTCGTAGATGCTGGTGACTACGCATGCTCAGCCGCTAACATTGTAGGAGTTGTGAACTCTGCTAATTCAATGTCTGTAGTCGTCGTGGCTCCCCAACCAAATACATCGAATACGGCCCTCATTGTCGGACTGGTCATCGCTGCTTTGGGTTTGATAATCTTAATCATCTTCATCGTCTGCGTCTGTGCGAAGAGGAAGCATGACTCAGAGTCCCCTACTTCTTCGACGGAGAGCGCCACAAATTACCACGATAACGCTGGCATGGGTGTTTGGACAACGGACATGTCCCACAGTGTACCGGAGCAGTATGAGTTGGGCCAGGGGGAAAGAAGCTACACCCAACCTCACACAACCTACCTACGACCGCAGTACGATCCCAGTCTCGGGGAGAGCTACAACTACCCCGGCAGAAGAGACGGCGTGCTACCGCAGTATGCGCAGGAATCGTGCGGCCAACCTGACAGATCGCACAGTGTGCCGCGTGACTCCGGTTTCATTGATGAGATCCTACCTGAGGACTCTTACAATCAGCGTGCCGCGTCAGTAGATGGCGCTGGTTGGATGAGAGGAAGCGACAACGATTCTAACTCTACGCATTCACCCAGTGGCTCGTATCGTTATAGTGGACAGACACGGAACACTTCAGATGAGAGTGGCTTTAACACTCTTGTCTGAACATTAATCAAAAAGTACTTGGCTGACTTTTATGACGTTATGAAGAAACGTTCTATAATATGTATTACAGTAGAGAATGGACTATAGGAGTCAGTTGCCTGAACATTTCACAACAGCGCACGTCCTGTTGCATTAACACGAGAAATACGATACTACGTGATCACGTCGCGTTATATTAAAACACAAATTCCGGGTTCGTTAGGAAGTCTTTGATTTTATTTACGGATAATAAATAACAAGATTATATACGATATGAAACGTTGTGTCGTTCCTGTATCACAGGACATATAAGTCAAACGCGCTGATCTAACAAGTTCAAGTTTATTGTTTGTCTTAACAATACAAGGTTTGTGTTTATTGTTAGTTTGTAATTACATCATAAAGCACCGTAGTCTATGTACATTAAAGAATAATTGAAGTCAAATTTTCTAACTTCTGTAACGTTTTTATACATAGAAATACATTCAATAACGTATTCCATTTCAAATCCGGCGCCCAATTAGTAATAAACACCTGAATAGTAATCTAGGTCATGTGACGTCACGGCTCCAAGTTGAGCGACGCCACGCTAACGCAAGTTGAGTGTTGTGTATAAGTTGGAAACAGAAAGCGATAATTTCAATGATTCTAGTGATTACTCAGATGATGATGATATTTATAGTGATTTACCAGTTGAATATAGGCTTGAGCCTGAATATACACAAGAAGAAATTGAGGAGAATCGTCTGAAAAATCAACGCGAAGAGTCGGCACAAACTTCTCAAGAATCAGAACAGTCACAACATGGGGGAATGGAAGCTTCGGTACCCGATAGGACTGTAGACAAATACTGGTGTTCTTGTGGTGTTTGTGAATTAATGAGTACGGCACCTGAATGTATATGCTGCCATGAGAATGAGAAGACCAGGGTTATTGTAGACCAGTTTGACGCTAGACCAGGTGAGTCATGCGAGTACACTGATCACCGGGCTTATCACGCTCGGTCAGAATCACATGTATCTACGCAAGTCATGTACATATATACCGTGAATGCATTATCCACACAGGTAATATGTATGTACATGAATATAAGTACATTTACAGGCTACATGTTTGTGTCTTGACATGATAAATAAGAATAAGAAATAACAAAAAACATCGAATATTTAACCACCGCACGCACTATGTTTACATGATGGTGTCGCTCAACTTGGGGCCGTGACGTCACATAACCTAGATTACTATTCAAGTGTTTATTACTAATTGGATTGATTAATTGGCGCCGGATTTGAAATGGAATACGTTATTGACAGTATTTCTATGTATAAAAACGTTACAGAAGTTAGAAAATTTGACTTCAATTGTCCTTTAAAATAAACTGGGCTGATATATAGATGTCGTACTTCTACGCTTCTCTATTAGGACAGGATGTTATTAGGGCGTTGTATATTACATTGCATGAAAGCTACTTGATGAGTGTGGGAGGCCGTCGATGGACAATCTTATAGAAAGATACTGAGGGATAGTGCAACGGTGAACAATTTGCAGAGGCTTACTGTTGTATGCCTTCTATAGGTGGCATAAAACAGTAAGCCTCCTCAAATTGTTCACCAGTGCTGCACTATTTGGTTTCTAGAAAAGGCCTTTTTTGGAAATGTTTAGATGAAATCCGGCACTAGAGTGCAATAGTTTGCATTATGCACGCAAGTAGGATGTCTCGTGGACGTCTAGAGAGCGTTAGAAGTTAAATGGGTCAAGTGGCGTAGCCATGGTGACCGGTTGGCCATTTTTGTGTTTGAAACGTGATCGGACTACTTTGTAGAAATTCGCATCATAGAGCTGGCAAAAGTTTCGAGCGGAGCATAGAGCACGAATCTGTAGTTATTTAACATGAATAAAGTGTATGTTGTGTATGCGACGTAACACTGCGAGCATTTTTCATTAATTTCTGTTCGATGCTTATTCAGGCCTGCTGCCTATGGACGCCTTCTACTGTTGTACAACACACTAAATAGGGCCATCGCGCGGTGAACTATGCATGAGGTGAATACGTTCACATGCGGATGTGTCATATAGCGCCCGCGCGCGGTGAAATACACGCGATAGCAGAACATACACGCGGTTAGCCGTCAGGAGTCAGTTATATAATAGACAAAAGCAGAGTAAATTTATATGCACAGTGTGCCTTCGCGCGGTGTAATACTAACGCGATCAGGAGCTAATAATACCTTATATATTATTAGCTCTTAACGATATGTACGAATACGTTTACATGCGGATATGCTATGTTGTCGCTTCACCCGCTTCACCCGATGCATGATGACTCATGAAAACCATGCTTATATCAACTATGGTTAGGGTTAGAGTTCTGTTTAGTGTTAGAGCTATGGTTAGTGTCAGAATTAGGCGTAGGTTTAGATTTAGGGTCAGAGTTAGGGTTAGCACGCACGTGCGTACGTGCATGTACACTCATGCACATATATACGCACATAGGCGAGCACACGCACATACATGTATACACGCGTGCACACACACAAACACGTGCACGCGCACACTCTTCCACACAGCGCGCACGCGTGTACGCGGACACAGGTTTCGTGTCGTTTTCTTGCTTTCGATTCGAAATGCGAAAATGTAGGAGCTGCGGCTTGTCACGCACCCCTAATAATTATTATCATATATTTATATAGAAGAGCCCGCGTGTGTAGGTATTCTAACTCTGCAGACTCAAGTGTGTAGAGGGCATATATATACACGATAAGGTCATCACGGGAATGGATTCGCGACAGCAACAGTTCAGGTGACAATACGACCATGCAACTGACGGCTACATTTTCTGCCTTTTTGATGATTTTCTGTTTAGTAAGTAATTCGAACCCTTCCTGAATAGCTTTTTTAAATTTGTGTGCACGCCTGAGTACGTATGTCCGTATGCGCGTGAGTGCGTACGTGCATGTGTGTGTGTGCGTGCGGGCATGGATATTTATCAGAAGGTAACCATGGCCATATTTCTGATGACAACGTTAATTGTGTGTGTAGAGGAATACTAGTTGCTCGTCGTTCTGGCAAGTAACCGAATAATGCATGTATTAGAGCTACGTGCCGTGTAGTGTGTGTGTGTGTGTGTGTGTGTGTGTGTGTGTGTGTGTGTGNGGGCAAACGAATCAAAAACCAACCCAGCACCCCCCAATCGCCGCGGTTCGGCTCTCCTCGTTGTCTCTCTTCTTTCTCTTTCGCTCCTGCGGCTCTCCCGCTCGCTCTCTTCTCTCCTCGAACCACACTCTCTCTCTCTCTCATCAAATCAGATTTGCTCTCGTCTCTCTCTCTCTCTGCTCTCATCTTCCTTCCAACGGGCTGAGTCTGCTCTCCCCTCTCTCCTCGACCTCGCAACTCATCCACGTCGTTGTCTCTCTCTTCTTTGTCTTTGGTCTTTCCTCTCTCTTTCTCTCTCCCTCTCTCTCTCTCTATCTCTCTCTCTCTTTTTCTCTCTCCACCTCGTTAATCGCACTAGCGGCATCGCTCTCGTCTTGTCTCTCTCTAAATCGCTTCCGTCTATCAGAATTCTCGCTCTCTTACCCACCGTCGTGCTCTCAGATCTCTCATCTTCTCGTCCTCTCTCTGAGTTTAGCATCAGAACACCTGCCGTCAGGTGAGCGCTGTCGCTCTGCGGCACTTGTTGTTTTTATTTGCGCGATATTCGCAAACCAAAATGGCGATCATTTCGGCATAGCGCCATCTCTCGTCAAGATTTCATTTCGGACTCGGATCTGAAACATTTATTTTCGCATCAAAACTTATGCATATATCAGTATATCATTATCAGGAGTGTATCAAAAATTTTGATACACTCCTGTCATTATCAAGAGTATAGAATGGGAGATATGCTATATAATGGGAGTTCTCCCATATATCAGTATATACTCTTGCTTTATATATCCCCCCTCCCTCTTCTATCACACAAAAGGTGAGCTACAGTGTCATTGACACTTTCATTTACAGGTAGCTATATATGGAAAGAATTTCTGCACGTCTGCCAAGGAGGCCTTTTCGTTGTTAATGAGAAACATTGTCAGGTATGCTAAACGTTTCCTAAATTCCCCCACATACATTAATTGGGTCTTGTGAGTCAGTTTCTTAGCTACTATATATTTTGTTTGTGGAATATATCTTTATCGTAATCATTTGTGTTCCAAAATGACCTGGCCAAGCCAATTTCTTTGTCTTTCTCGACAGGTTTTAAAATAATTGCTGTTACAGGGTGGTGGTGTTAGACAACGTTACAGACTTTCTTCTGTTCCTCAGCAAACTCATGGTAGTTGGGGCTGTTGGTGAGTAACAAACAATCCAAGCAAATTTTCTAGAATTACAGCCAAGTTTCATATCGCATTTGAACCAGCTATTTATTGTATCCCCCAAACGAAGTTCGTGGGGATACTATGGGTTTGGCATCGTCGCGCCGCCGCAGAGATTTCCTTGTGAACGCTCTACCGGCTGCAGTTCTTCTCGGATCATCTTCAAATTTCGCATGACGGTGCGTTATCGTAAAGCGAAGACGCCAATCGTTTTTTGTGGGTGGAGTCATCGTTGCCATGGTAACAACATTTTTTGTCGAAATATTCTAGAACCTGTAACTTCTGCACTTTTTACCCGATTGTCATGAAATTTATATTTGTATTAAAATTTATATTTAAATTTATAT